TTTTACTTTTCCCTACATCTTAGTACATATTTCTCAAGTTTGATGTTATTGAAATATTTTTACTCATCTGGAGGCATGCAGCTTTAAGTATTCTGTGTTAAGAGGTTTTTTTTTCTGGCCGAGTTTTTGTACAAACAGAATTTGCAAAGTATATGTCAAGGTCATGCTTTTGGTAGAAATAAAATAGTCATAAATTCTTAATATATAGCTAATTAACCAATATATTTTCTTTAAGTATACAGGACGTACTTGAAAAAAAACACACAAACAAATGGCAAATAATTACGATAACAAAGTACACTTAATCACTCATTTTCTTACAAAATTCACGGAAGCAGTTCAATTTCAGTTTAACTATTTTGTAAGAGTCTTTTGAGCAGTAAACCTTTGAATGGTTGACTAATGTGTTTGTTGTATTTTTTGTTTATGACACTAACATTTTGAAAAGAAAAGCTCTGATATGCAATATTTTGAACTGCTGAAACAGTTTTTTAAGCAGGGAGGGGGTAGGCTTTATGTATAATATGCGTCCTCTTTTCAGTCTGTCTGTATATCCGTAATATTTCATGTCCCATAACTATCAATGAACTTTTTGTGAGGACTTTTAACTGAATCATACATTTATCACATATTGAACACATATGTACGATGAGCAGACTGATACAGTTCAAAGATATGATCTATCAAGAAGGTCACTGTTCAAGTTTTCTTCTGTAACGGCATTTCATAAAAAACATTGCCAGTGGCATAAAATGAGCTTTCAGAATTGAGCTGTCAGAGCGAATAGCACAATCGTGCCTACTCAATGTCTAGGTAACATCTTAAAGTCAAATAGAGGAGTTTTCATTTTTGTGTCCACTCTTTACATCATATAGAACTTTCCTTTAAAGAGTTTTATGAAACATTAGTAATTAAACATTCTAGATAATGCACGTAGCGCACAAAATAGGCGAAATTTAATGACAGTTCAAAGAAAAAATATACCATCCGCTTTCCTTTTTTGTTCCATAATTCTGTATTCTTTGAAAAGCATATTCTTGAATCTTATTCACTAATCATCAGACAAAGATCATGTCAATGTAAATTTCAACATAATCTAAAATGCCAAACATTGTCAAAAGGTAAGATAATACATTAAAGGCAGCTTGAAAGTCCAATAATTTCAGCTATCCACAGTCAGCTAAAATTTACAGATATAACAATAAACAATACATTATTTATATACTGATAAAATGGTTATAGAAACCGAAAGTATTAACTGTTTACCTGTTTGTCAACCCGTTGAAATATTTGGATTTAGTTATAATTTCACCTCAGTGAGCATTTTACGTTAATGACTTAATAAATGATGATTGCAAAACAATAAAGGACATGTTTTGCTACTGTGATGAGTATTTCCTTTAGGCCAAAATAAAAAAAAATGTGTTTGGTTACGACCCTACGATTTTGCGTCTACAGAATTTTTCGGCCATTTTTTATTATTACAATCATAAACAAAACGTTTGATTTTTTTTTCGCACTCATTAAAAAATTTGCATTTTTATATAACCAGTAGAATCTATTTATGACAGATGTGGCATCGGTAACTTTTGCGGTCAATGACAAATTTTACGATGCCGCATGGAATTGCTGATGTTTAAAAAAAGTAAAAAAAATCAAAAGGTGTTTGATTTAATATAATTACAATCAACAACTAAAATTTTGAATTTTTTAGCAGAAGACAGTCAAATGTGCATTTGTCATATATTTTTGCGATGCCGCTTTTTATGATTTAAAACAAAGGAAGCTATGTTTTAAAGATATGTAATAACACTTTAAATGCATTTTTGAATTAAATTGCTTAAGTTATTGTATATATTAGGTGAGAAAGAGTTATTTGTCAGTATGTGTTCCTCACATATTCATAAAATTTAATATATATTCTAAAGGGAGAAGTGAATCATGAAGGAAACAGCAAAATGATAATGTAAGGTCTAAGATTTAACTCTTTAAATCTTACCAGCCACTTCTTTATGGTACAGCGTTTAAGATTTTTGTCAAATGCATAACTTCCCTGGGTTAATTAAAAAAAATAGAATTTGGATTTGCATGTTCTTAATAAAAAGTAATGCTTATTATGCTTAATTATAATGGATTCTTCAAACTACAATTATTAAATTTCCGTGTTGGTGTATTTTAATCCACTTCCCCGTAGCGGAAAGGAGGATTATAGGAACGGCCTTTGTCTGTCAGTCCGTCAGTCTGTCTTCGTAACACTTTCGTATCCGCTCCTTAACTTTTAAAGCGCTGAAAATCTTTTGAAGTAACTTGACACAAGTGATTTCCATAATATGACGATGTGCAGAGCACAATAATTGGGTTGCTACCCCCAAGGTCAAGGTCACACATAAACGTCAAATGTTAAATAGTCATCATTCATAATAAGATAAACGTCTACATTTCGCGTCCGCTTCATAACTTTTTAACCGCTTAGATATTTAAGAAATGACTTGGCACAATTGATTACCATTATAAGACGATGTGCAGAGCGCAATAATTGGGTTGATACCCCAAAGGTCAAGGTCACACTTAAACGTCAAATGTTAAAAGTCTTTATTTCATAATAAAAAGTCTACATTTCGTGTCCGCACCATTACTTTTTAACCGCTTAAATTTTTAAGAAATGACTTGGCACAATTGATTACCATTATAAGCATATGTGCCGAGCGCATAGGTAGGTTTCTAACCTACGGTCAAGGTCACACTTAAAGGTCAAATGTATAAAAGTCTTAATTTTTGTTCCTTCCATAACCTTTAAACCTTTTATTTTTTTAAATAGCTTGGCACAAGTGATCACCATTATGAGACAATGTGCAAAGTGCAATAATTGGGTTGCTACCCCCAAGGTCAATGTCGCACTTAAAGGTCAAGTACTGAAAAATGTCTACATTTCGTGTCCGCCTCATAGCTTTAAAACCGCTGAATTTTTTTTATGTAACTTGGCACGAGTAATCATCATTATGAGACAATGTGCAGAGTGCAATAATTGACTGCTACACTCAAGGTCAAGGTCACACTTTTACAGGCCAAATGTTAGAAAGTATACACTTTGTGTCTGTCCATAACATTTTAACCGCTGCAATGTTTTTAAAAATTAACTTGGCAGAAATTATCACCATTATGATACTATTTGCAGAGCACAATAATCAAATCACAACCCTGAAGGTTAGGGTCATATTTAAAAACATCTATGTTCCATGTACACTCTATAACTTATTGACAATTCAAAGGTTTTAAAATTACTTGGCACAAATGATCACAGTCTGCAGAGCTCAACATCCAGGTTGCTACCCGAAGGTCAAGGTTACTAGTATATTTTCAGACAACATGGAAAAGGTTGGGAAGTTTTATTTTTTTTATAAAATAATTTACATTTCTTACGGGTACTTAATCATATTCACAATAAAAAGGACCGAAAAGCTGCTATGAAAGTTTGAATAAAAATGATAAAAGGTGTTACATTCAGGCCTATACTAGTATATGTTCTCCATTACTTTTTGACTTTATGGAATACTTTAGATAACTTGGCACAAATAATCACCATCATAAGACAATGTGCTTATGATATGTATGGCACGATATTAAGGTCATGGGTTGCAAACGGACAAGAAATAAACATTCATGTTCACTGCGGAAGGGGATTTAGCTGTCCTTCAGAGTGCCTTGTTAACTAACATGAGCACACAGTGCTCAATGGTTAGCTATTGTGGTCAATCGCTGTCTGTTGTACGTTGTCTTTATGTAGGATAAATCACTTGAATCCGAGAAAAAAAAAGAAGTATACCTACCTGCCCTTTTTCACCCATGTTACCTGAACCACACATATATTTGTTTGGCCTTAAAGGCCCGTTATACCTCAGATACACTACCATTTTTTTCCAAAAACTTTCAATTTTTGGTATCGTGTTACAATTTTAAAAAAACTACTTATTTGTCATATATATTGACTAACTTGGGGCGTCCGTGGCCGAGTGGTTAAGGTCGTTGACTTCAAATCACTTGCCCCTCACCGCTGTGGATTCGAATCCCGACAGGGGCTTTGGATTCTTTCATGTGAGGAAGCTATCCAGCTAGCTTACGGAACGTCGGTGGTTCTACTCAGGCGCCCGTTCGTGCCTGAAATAATGCACGGAAAAGCAATTGAGGTCTTCCTCCACCAGTAAAGCTGGAACGTCGCGATATGACCTATACTGTGTCGATGTGACGTAAAACCCAAAACAAACAAACAAATATTGACTAACTTTTGCAAATAAAGCTATGTTGGTAATTGGTATAATTATAGTGAATTAGTATTTTGTATGGAAGTCAAAGTACTACTTTGTTTACATTTTACTACCTTTATGACACATTAGTTCGCATTCATTGCTACTTTCATCAGTTATTTAAGATATACTGAGATGCTCAGATTTGATATTAGAAAATATTGATAATTGTTACACAGCATCTTAAAATTGTAAATATAAAATAAACACATTGAGACTTCACACAGAGTAGATATCTTATGTTTAAAATCTACATACTGCAGGTGGTCAGAATATATATGATCATTAACAAAAACTGGCAGTTTTTTTAAGAATGGAAACACTACTTGACCTGTATAAGGGAACGCAGCTTCCCATACATAGTTTATCTATTCTTTGCATTTAAATTATACACATTCAGTAAGAATTTAATAGATTTTAATAAATTTCTGTGCTTAAAATATTTAACTCAAGGATGAGCATAGTATGTCTAACATCTAACATGCTCTAAATTAATAATTAAACACTGTTGAACCCTTGTTTGTCATATCTAAATAACAAAACAAATATTGATTTCTGAGGTATAATGTGTCTTGAACAGAATTTGAAAACAACATTCTATTAAAATAGAACGCATTAACTTAGCCACTTACGAGAAACTCTTTACATTTCCATGTCAAGTCACACTTAATCTCATTATGCATAACGATGTAAGTAGAATGCTAATATCAACAGAATCGAGTCATAATTGTAAGAGCTGTAACGTTGCAAAAAATTTGTTTTATACAGTATGATAAAAGTTGTGATTAAGTTTTAGAAAAAATTTTAATTTATGGAATATTGACGATATTTAAGTTATCTTATTCTGTCTAATGATATTAAAATCAAAATGTTCGTTTTGTACATTGTTATTTCGTTTGTTACCATCACAATTGTAAAAGGTGAAGGGGATACAATTTGTGACTGCCAGGAAGTCGGAATATTAAAGGAAATAGTGCAACAAGTTCTGATAGAGAAACGAATGGAGTCTGCGAGACTTAGTAGGGTAGAAGCGAAACTGAGATCATGTGAGAAAACTAAGACGATTCCAAATGGTATAACTAACTCTTATTTGATAAATCGTATATAACTTTATTTTTTCGTCATATTAGTTATGAATTATGAATTGAACTCCTCATCTTAAACAATGCTTGTCTTTATTCATAATATGCCTCAACTATAAACAATTCCTTAAAGTAAAAACAAAAACACATTAACTTTTGCGTTATGTATTAAACTACTATTTCAACTCAATTTTTGTACGTTTTATTTCGGTGTTATAGAATGTATTAGCAAAAGCATTATCTTTTTATTGTAGCTCGTTTGGCAAAGTTAGAAGAAAACATGAGAGATTTAAATGTGAAATTTAATGAAACAGTTACCGGAACTAAGGGCAAACACACAGGACTCCACATGGACATCGGTGCAGTTATGAAGAAGACATTAATGTCAGAGAAACATGAAACGAGAAAAATAGTTACAAACATGAATGAAAAAATTATGGAACATAGGGACATCATTGAAACATTTAAAGTCACAATTAACAATACAATAGAAAAATTCATCCAATATATTGATGCCAAGCAAATCAAACGCACGAATGAAATAAACGAATTTATGGATGATATACAAAATGGCACTGCAACTTTCATCAGGACAGTTTCTAACAATATCTCTACATTTAAAAATGAAATAATTATGGAAGTAAATGAACGGTTAGATAGCATAAAAGAAGTGAATAAAAGCGTTCAATGGATTTCATCAGATATAATCACAGTAAATCAAAGTGTAGTGAAGACTGGAGACATGGTGGATATACTGGGCAAAATAGTGAAAGAAAACAAAGGTAAACCTTAAAACCTCATCCGATTATTTTCTCGAAAATCTACAATCATAACACTTGTTATATAAAAAGGGTATTATCAATTATTATGTTTTCTTTTCATATCATGTTTCATTGACATCTCACTTTCACTTACGCACATTTTTTTCCATACCAGTTGATGTAAGTTATGTAAGCAAGATCTATGCCAAATTGTAAATTTCTTAATAATGTCATCCTAAGTATGCATCTCATTCATAAAGGCGCTATTGATGCCCTTTTAAACTGACATGGTTTAGGTATGAATATTTATCGAACACTGATTTAAACACAATACAATACAGTGTTACACGCTAGTTTAAAGTGTTGAAAAATTGATTAAATAATTCATGAAAAATAAGATGGTCTTCCTTTATTATCATGCAGTCCAAACCGGTGTTAAATACCCGATAAATCGATCGATCGATTTATTTGACATTACGTTTTTATCAAATGGCTTTATCACACTCCTGTGCGTTGTAAGTGTGATGAATATACAGTAAAATTTCATGCTAACTATTGAAATACTGGTTTTACATCGTGTAAAACAATCAATATAAGACAGTATATCACCCGCAGTTTGGATGATGATGTTCTATCGAACTATGTTTTGGTGTAGTTTTTAATTTTTATGATATCGTAAATTTGTAAATATACATCAGACTTTATTTTTCCGGCTTTTATGTAAATGTCTCAATAATCCAAAAATTAATTAATCTTTAAACATGTTAATAGTAACGCCGCAAAATAATAATGGATAAAGATTTAGATAAAGAAATCAGTACGTCAGGATTACATAAAGCAGTATTTTCACAAAACGATAATAAAATAAGTGGAATAGATACACTTATATCGAAAATATATAAAATTTCTTTTAATGAAACGTCTGATTTTATTCTAAGACTTTTTAACAGGATATTTCATACCGGAGAATATCCCAGTGAGTGGGGATCAGGAATTATTGTTCCTATACATAAGGGAGGTGACCCGGAAGATGCCAAAAAATTATAGGGGTATAACTTTGATAAACATTATTGCTATAATAGATTCACAGGTATTACTTAATCGCCTAACATCATGGACTATAAAACATAAAACTATAATAGATAATCAATACGGATTCCAAAAAGGAAAATCAACTACAGATTGCATATTTATACATCACTCAATATAGTAAAAACTCTTCTGATAAAAATAAATTACACGTAGCCTTTGTAGACTTTGAAAAATGCTTTGATAAATTACAACGTTCGTTTATCTTTCAAAAACTAATCCAGGAAATTGTTAGTTCAAAATTTGTAAAAGCAATTGAAAGCATGTACAGCATCGTAAAATCAGCGGTAAGGTTAAAAAAAGAGATATCACCAAACTTCATCTCAAACATAGGTGCAAAACAAGGTGACCCAAGTTCAAGTCTTTTATTAATATTTTTCGTAAATGACATAATTCATAACATTTATTGTAACATTGATGGAATTTTCACCGTACATGAATTAAAATTATTTATGCTACTTTTTGCTGATGATACAGATCTTTTTGCCAATACACCCAATGCATTACAATCAATAATAAATGATTTGAATTTATACTGCCAAACATGGAATCTAAAAGTTAACACATCTAAAACTAAAATAATGATATTTGAACAAGGTAGACATTCAACGTTTAACTTCATTTTCAACGGTCAGACCTTAGAAATCGTTAAAAGCTTTAAATATTTTGGCGTTTATTTCTTTAAAAATGGACATTGGAATCGGACACAAAAGCAGCTTGCTCAACATTCATCATTTTCTCTGCATAACCTTTTTACAGTATTTAACCAACTTGATCTAAAGATTCAAGATAAATGTAAACTGTTTGATACATTAGTTTGATTGTCTTAAATTATAGCGCAGAAGTGTTTGGATACAATGATTGTAAAAATATAGAACACGTACATTGTAAATTTATTCGAAAGATCATTTGTGTCCTAAATCAACAATCTAGATGCATTATATGGAGAAATAGGGAGATATCCAATGGCAATATACCGTAAAATCATAATGTTCAAATACTGGATTAAAGTACTTAAGTCACCTGATAACTCAATTCTTAAAACAATGTATAACATGCTAAAAGAAGATGCAGATAATGAGCTATCATACAGAGAAAAAACTGGGCTTATCAAATAAAAAATATACTGCACCAAATAGGAATGTCTTACGTTTGGCTACAACAAGATAAATTAATTATAAATGTATGTGTCATAAAACAAAGAATTTTAGATATCTACAAACAAAATTGGTATTCAAGTATTAATAATTCTAACAGACTTTTGTCTTATAGCCATTTTAAACACAAATTTCAGTGCGAAAAATATTTAAGCGTTATAAACAAAGATAGCCACAGGATTATTTTAACCAAATTCAGCTCATAATCTCGAAATAGAAAAAGGAAGGCACGATAATATTCCAAGAGAAAACAGAAAATGTCGAAATTGTTCATTAAATTTAGTAGAGACAGAATATCATTTCTTATTAATATGCCCGAAATATTACAATTTACGTAGAAAGTTTTTTAAACCATATTTTTGTAGATGGCCTTGATGCAGAAATTCGAAACACTAATGACAAGCACAAATATCAAAACAATTAATAATCTGGCAAGTTATCTGAACTACGCAATTTAAGAAAGAACATAACTTTAGATTTTAATATCCGATAACATACTTTTTCCTTATGATTACTAGTAAATGGGAGATAACTACGACAACAAATGATTAGTACATATACAACGGTTATGTCATCTTAGAAATATTATAATTGCCGTTTGATTTGTGGATATCGATATAATATAACGTTAACAAATATCTTTCTACTTAGTTTCTTACATATTAACGTGTATTTATGTTTATACTTGTCACCAATAATTCTCGGCACGTGGACAAATCTCGTTCTACTGTGTACATGTATAAGTATTTTATGCAATTATGTCGTAACCTTTGTTTATATTTGTCAACAATACTTCTCGGCAACTTAACAAATATTTTTTCTTCTTTGTTTAAGTACATTTGTTTCTTACATGTATAAGTATTTCTTATGCAAACTTTGTTACATATATCATAACATTTGTTCGTACTCGTTAGCAATACTTCTCGGCTAATTGTAACTTGTAACACTTTACACTATACATGCTAAATAAAATTTATGTAATGTTAAAAAAAATTATGTTATGTTATGTAAGGTTATGTTTACATTGCGTTTGTGTAGCCGTTGAACGTCTGACGTCATCATATTTACGTGTGTTTTTTCCCGCGCTTCAATGTAAACAATCTATAATTGTTCTTATTTAAATTATAAGGCATAGAAATGAAAAAAAAAATGTCTTGATTTTCATGAATATGCTATAATCATACGTCAAAGTAAAAAAAAATCTCATTTTCGCTTGAGCTTTCGCACGTGAACAATTGTAAATTTCTCACTTCGACGTGTAATATATAGCATATTTATAAAAAGAACTATGATATACAGTTTTCATAATATCATCAAGAGGATCATAAAATAAATTGACATGACTTCAATGTTAATAAAAACAAAAGGACACATCAAAACACGTTTTGCTTTTTTTTTAACGGAAAAATTGAGAATTTTGGTTGTTATATATGATTATAATATATATTATAGTTATAAGATATTGATATTTTTCTTGAAGTTCGATTGGTTAACGGATCGAATCAATATGAAGGGAGACTAGAAGTATGGCATGATGGGACTTGGGGAACAGTATGCGATGATGGGTTTGATGTGATGTCAGCAACTGTTGTATGTAGGATGCTAGATTATGAACAGTAAGTAATATACAATTAAATGCTTTTTTATCACTTTATGCAAGACAACTGTGTTTGTTTTAAGCAAATCTAATAAAGAGGCTAACGATAAAAATTAAAATACATGGACAAATGATTTGTTTGATTCTTAAAAGAAATGTATATTTTCGATGTCACACACGTGTAAATGTAAAATAATAATTAGAACGTCAGGAATCTAAGCTGTGCCTGTATCCATCGTATAGTTAACATACGCTGTCACCTTGAAAAGCAGCATATGTGGTGATGAACAGTATTTTTTTCTGTATAAATGACATATATATACACACGTTTCTCAGTTTTATCGTTACATTTTGATTTATATAAAACGAAAATATTGTTTGAAAAATGGAAGTAATACTTATCTGAAAGTTATCAGAGAATAATTTGCGAAAGTTTGCCAGATAATTTTGATTAGAATTATTTTCCATTCACTAATTATTTAACTGTTTCGTTCATAACCTGAATTTGTTGTTCAAATTATCAATTCACAATCTTATATCAAAGTGGCGAATGGTTTTTTACGAATACACAATGCATTGATTGTAGCATACACTACTATTTATCCTGCAATATTGATGATGTGTACAGTATAATAATTTCATGTGGACTATTTATAATGTATATATGTTTCAGGTGACTTATTGGTCCAATGGGCAGGGTGTTATGTTAAATTATTCAATTTCGTTATTTGTAAACTGTCATACACGTGTCACTATGATACCAAGTAAAATGGTTTCCTGCGGTGAACATTTTAATGATATAAAGATATTTCATTTAACTATTTTCAACATTATTTGGGGGGGGGGGATAAATAAACGTTTGTATCAGGAAGATAGTTGACAATAATCAATCAATATAGAAGACTGGTGACCGTTGAATCGAACATAAAACAATAATTTCTTTTTAAGAACCTACCATTTTATGAATAATTCAGAGCAAAAAATAAATAAAGTAAACACTCAAGTTTACGATTTATTATAGCAGATGCCACTACGAATATTTGAATTTTGTAGATTTTCAGTTTAAACAATTTATTGTTTGTAAAATTTGAGATAGATATTAAAGAAACATTGATAATTTTCAAACACAGCATTCAAGTTTTTCCGCCTTAAACGGTGAAATAATTATAGAAAATTAGAAATATCACGTAATAGTTTTTTGTTCTCAATAGGTATAATTCGGACTAATTCCCTACAGGTAAATCCGTAACGTACCGGCAAACGGTATTTAACTGGGTTTTCGAAAAGGTCAATTAACAAATCATATACGGTTTACAGATCACATGATCCTCCATGTACCGAAAACAGGTCATGTGCTCCTCCATGTCTCAAAAGTTAAACGCGTACCAATACCCTGCGGTCTCCAGACCGCAGGGAATAACATATTGACTGACTGACTGACTGTCTGACTTCCTTCCTTCCTGTTTGGTAAATATTTGGTTGATTTTGGTTGAGTTGTATGGAGTGATATTGTCTTGTCAAGATTATATTAGTTGATGCTTTGTTTTTGAGGATATCTATAAATATTGGGTGTTTTAGTTTAAGTTGTTTCCTGATGCTGATTTGATTTTGTGAAGTTAATATTGTTGGTTGAATGTTTGTGGTTTATACTGTATCTCAGATTTGTAGGAAAATACATTTTGGGTCCGTCTTTTTGTGGCAAGTTTATTGTTTTGTTTGATCATAAGTTGCTTAGAGCTCCGGCTCGCCAGGTGTCTAGTATTGTTTTGTATAAAGACGTTTATTATATACTTATAAATGAAATATTGAGAAATATTGATGAAATAAAATGCATATTTTCATTTTCCGTATTTTCACTGTAAAAATTTATTTTTCACTGCAGTGAAACATATTTTCCGTATTTTCACTGGTGTCTTGCCGGACTACTTTCTTTTAAATTCTACCAGTACACACAATTTAAGGGAAAGTTTTTCAAATTTTATCGCAAAAAAGAGAAAAATGTACATAATAAACAGAAAATTCAAGTTTTTTCTATAAATACATGATTTATTTTCATCTTGTGGCATGAAAATTACCATATTTCACTCGTGGCTACCGCCACTCATGAAATATTTATTTTCATACCACTCGATGAAAATAAATCATGTATTTATAGAAAAAACTTGAATATCCTATGCAAAAAGATATATTGTATAATTGGTTGATAAATGATGTGTGCTTGTTTTGGGTGTAAATGGTGATCAGAGTTCTATATTTTGGCTGTACATGATACCTAAAAAGTTAGTGTTTGCTTGTTTTTCCAACTGAGAATATTTCAATTTTAAGTTAGGCTGTGCTGCCAAGTCTCCAAATCTTTGAAATCCGTTCTAGTTTTTATAACTAAGACTTTCCGTAGATTAAATAACGTCAAGGCAGTCATTCTCCTGACAAAATTTATATGCCGTGGGTCTGTTGCATGACAAATATTGATCTTGTGCAAGTCCATATATTTTCAAGTAATATCTGTTGAGAGCGTGACACCGTTTAGATCACAATTCGAAAAATAGAAAAATAAAATGCAAAACAATAATGAGTGTCCAGTATTTCCTCCTTGTTTACTAATACCGTGTTCCCGACAATACGATTTTAAGTTTCGATATTTGACACCTTCAGATTTGTAACAAGATAAGGCCTAATTTAAAAACGTTCCTTATGAATCTTTAGGTATAAAGTTGATGTTTGTACTGAGCAATCTTTGATTCCATTGCTCTAATGTATATAAACATGTAAGTGAGAAGTATTTTGAAATATTGGTTTACGCAAAATCCCTGTGTGCAAAGCATTGGTGTTTCAAAGAAAATAATCTAAATGTTTTGCTTGTAAAATCTAGAAGTGGAAGACCGGTGTTCTAAATATCATTATTTTAACTTGTTTATTTTTGTACCTTTTTAGAACAAAGCCTTGGTGCTATCAAGTTTATAAAGAAATCAAAATAAAGTTGTGGTCAATGTTTCTATGTCCTTTTTATTGAGTAATTAACATTAAAACATTAATTAAAGTAAACATGTCTATATAGACCCTTTCATTTAAGCGATAACAGTCAGTGAAGAGTTACTTCCCTTACCGGATGTGACGTAAATGGGGGATAAAACTATGTATACCGCATAGAAAGTTAGCTTATTGAAAAGTTAAATGCGTAAATACTGATCGTTCAATTATGATTATAACATGTAAAAATTTACGCATGCATATATAAATTCAATATCAAGACAATAGAAAAAAATACAAAAGCAAAGATTGAGATTAATTCTCGCTACCACATATTTATAAATCTGTGTCGCAACGGAGTGAAACAGCGAAATTTCAAAGTGAATATTTTTATTTATAGATCTAGATTTTCTCAAATGCCAGGATAAAAAGCTAGTAACTTAATCAAATTTTAATATTTTACAAACACCTATACACACCGAAATTGCCTATTATAAATTTAAATGGCCGTTTTCTAGTTTTCTGTGTTATTGTCTGTCATTTAGAAAATTCTGGCGTATTTGTGACAAACCTGAAAACACGGATTTATATTACATTAGTAATATAAATCCGTGTTGAAAATAAGATTGCCAATGTCTTTTAATGATTGTTTTTAAGCTTTAATAAAACAATAATAGAATGCATTATGTCAATACTTACTGATTCTTTTTCATTACGCCGTATAAAAAATATTTCAAAGAACTGGTCAGTGAAGGAAATAATTTTATAAATATTCCGGAAAGAACGAAAACCATGTGGCATTGACTTTTATAATTTTAGATTCGCAACAGACGATAGTAAGATAATTTGGATATTAAAAATCCATTCTTTAAAGACCTTTTCTCAGCAACTTATTTCATAGATAAGTAGATGTGTATATATAAGCGCCACTGGGCCGTAACTTATTTATTAAAAGGGTACATATGTCGTATATATATACAAGCGGCACTTGGCTGTGATATCATAAATCATCAGGGTGCATTTTTAGAGTTATAACATTACATCAGATTACGTCACTTTTGTTAGTTGTCAAAATATTTATGGTCCGAATCTTGTTATAGATCATCCTTGGGACTTTATCACCGTAGGGAACGTGTTACAGTATCGCGTTTTTCGGTTACAGTATAGAATTTTCAAGATGGAGGATTATTTATTGGAAGAGAGGTAGGTGATTTTTATTCAGGTCCATACTATAATAGTAGTTCAGTTTCTAAAAGATGTTTTTGTGCTTTGCTTGTAAGGAACAGAATCCGGTATATAGTCATATATTTCTTCAGACCCTGCACCGCAGATTTATTTCTATATTGTCTCATAAATGTGTAGATTTGACGGTTGAAAAATTTGAATCGAGAGACCAACGCATTTTTCTCCCATTCCGACATTATTTAAGCATGCCTAGATAAAGTAAATCTACAAAACGTTAGTCCTTTATGTTTAGAAACGTTTATAAAAGTAAATGACAAGTTGAATCTATTTTCCTGTTCGTTAAATGCGTTTGAAAAAATAAACAATGTTACAGTATAGAGCGAGGTTAATTTTGAAGGGTTACAGCATAGACCTAGCGACTTTCATCCAATTTTGTTACAGTTTATACCCAGATTTCTGTTACAGTTTAGATACTTGCCAAATTTCAAACAAAGTTCGTATATCCATTATTTTTATGAAATAACTCATACCTTTCTATTTAATACATTATTGAAAGGTTGTATTACTTTTTTTCTTCAGCAGAAAAGTTATAGTTTGCTATTTTTCTTACTTTAAGTTACAGATTGAGACTTTTTGCAGAATAGTAATGTCCTAAGTAAGGACTGTTTTCACGACAACAACAGTAACTTTTATCGAATTGTATTGAGAGAAGAAAGATTATTGCTTGATATCCTTACACATTATAATAATGCCAATAAGTAATGAAATAGAGAAAAAAATAATCCTTAACAGAAGTCCAACACGGAAAACATGAAAATGTTGCAGGCCTCAGTTTTGATTAAAACCTGTTTCATGGACGGTAGTTGTAACTGCAAGCTACCGTCCACGCCCCCTAGCACCGGCCTTCAGCAGAATTCACATTACACATGAACTGGTACATTTAAGATTTTTTTAACATCTGTGGATGTGTTCATTTGGCGGTTATCATGGAACATTCAATGTGACACGTTATTGCCATTCTGTGAAAAGCGGCATATTACCCCCCCCCCCCCCTCAGGTTAAAAATTACGTGTGCCCTACGCGAGAAACTAAACAAAATGAAATTTTGACAGGGGATCGGAGGTCATGAAGCCCGTATACCATAGATAAGCTGTCAAAAGACACAATTAACAGGCAGGAAATACCCTAAGAATTATTAAACAGTATTTAAGTGAGCGATACTGCAACCTTAAATTTTATTTTCAATTTTGTTGTGTTGGTATTTCTTTAGGGATTCTGTTTAACTCTATTTTGTTACGTTTGGCTCTCTTGGATTTTAAGTTTCAACGACACTGAAGTCATGTGAAAACATTTCTGCTTTAGTGTAAAGAAAGACCTCAGCTACCCTTTGTGAAACATTAAAGACACGAGCGGGCACCTGACTAGAACCACCGACCTTCCGTAAATTACCTTGATAGTCCTCACATACAAAGAATCTAAAGTCATGATTGGATTTCAACTACAGCAGTAAATGAAAGATGATTTGAAGTCGACGGCCTTATCCCGACTCTGCCACTATTATGTACCTCCATCAGACTCACTAGAGAAAATATTGTAATTGTCTGACCTTAATTTATACTCTTTAACTTTCAATATTATTTTCTTTTTCAGAAAATTGAAAACTGCTATACAGGATGTCTGAAATAAAGAAAAACGACTTTTAATTTAATAATGATTAAATAATCGTAACTTCAACAAAGAAGCATTCGAAATGACGCCATGATCATGAGTTGATTTGAATACTTTTGGTTCGACATGAGAAGGGTCTTTAAACACTGCCTTTTTTCAAAATCTATGTTTTGGGTTTTCTTATCCCCGATTGCAACCGAAACCATTTGAACAACTTAATTGGTAGAAAGTCATGTAAATTTCATCACAGTTACTGAACGGATGAGATTGCACACACATATGTACGACATATGGACGAATAGCCATAGGGCCAATAAGCTCACAGAGATTTAAAAGTCTATGTAACATTCATACATTTTACCTAGTATATATAGAAAATATCGAAGTCTAAACTGTAACCGAAATCTGGGTATAAACTGTAACAAAATCGGATATAAATCGCTAGGTCTATGCTGTAACTTTGCACAAATTACCTCGCTCTATACTGTAACATTGTTTATTTTTTCAAACGCATTTAACGAACAGGAAAATAGATTCAACTGGTCATTTACTTTTATAAACGTTTCTAAACATAAAGGACTAACGTTTTGTAGATTTACTTTATCTAGGCATGCTTAAATAATGTCGAAATTGCAGAAAAATGCGTTGGTCTCTCGATTCAAATTTTCAAACTGTCAAATCTGCATTTTATTGAGACAATAAAGCGATAAATCTGCGGTGTAGGGTCTAAAGAAATATATGACTAGATACCGATTTCTGTTCCTTACAAGCAAAGCAAAAAAACATCTTTTAGAAACTAAACTACTGGTAGAATGGACCGGAATAAAAATCACCTACCTGTCCTCCCAACAAATAATCCTCCATCTTGAAAATTCTATACTGTAACCGAAAAACGCGATACTGTAACACGTTCCCTACGGTGTTTATTGGTCATGCCTTACTGATTTGATACTCGATCCACAGTCCTACCAACTGGCACAGTCAAAAAGACGTAAAATTATAATTCAGTTAATAACGAATTGTTTTTGTTGTTTTTTGTGGTGCTTTTTAAAATATTTGATAAGCAAAGTATGAATTAAAAAGTATCAAGTTGAAAATATTATTTTACCAGCTTAAATAATATTGGTGTGATGTACGATTTTTGAGAGTGCATTTTTGCCGACACAAATAGTATACAGTCCTGTACATTCAAAAGAATTTTTATTTTTTATGCCTTTACATTTTTTTTTTAAATTACATAGGTTTATATTGCTTTCTTTCTTTGTGCTTCCCGTAATGCTTAAATCAAATTATTTTTTAATAAACCAGTATCTTGCAATTAATTATTACGCAGCCGTTTTTTTCGAAACTACAGAATCCTTACAATTTTGAAACTCAAAATACCTTTGGGCATTTTATATTAGCAGAAACCTAGATACATTATTTATATCTCTGGTATTAGCAAGTTAGTACGATTTAACTGCCTGGTAAAATTTTCATTATTAAGAATCTAACGAAAATAGTAAGATCATGATCAGTTACCCAGCAATATGGTCTACAATTAAAACAAATCGTTAACCATATTATATAAGTAAACATATTTATTCATTTCACCATCATTTTTATGTAATATCTTATTTAATTACTAATTACACAAAATTTTGGCAATTTCAATCTGTCAATCTTAAAAGAGAAAGGTTTAAGATCTTTATATCCCTCTATTTTTATACTTAATCGTATCGGCATTGTACACCGTATCCCCCAATGACGTCATCCAAGGGCAACAACTTGAATACGGTCTTAAATGAAAGGGTCTATTGTAATTGACGTTTTGCCTTTAATCGGAGCTACGAAATGTGCCAAAATTCTTTATTGACCAAATTTTCCATATATTATTTTGTGTCTTGTTTGTTTTGTATTTGTTTGTTTTTGTTCAAAGAAAAAATAAATTTCAAGTAACATACAATAAATTAGATGAATATTAGATGCGTGTTTATAAGAATATCACAATAATTAACATTTCCTACAGAAAATATATTCAACAAAAATATACCCTTTTTATAAAGCGGCGGTTTGTTTATAAAGTGATGGAAACGACACAGTTTTGATTCCCAGCCATAAAAATTTTTATTTCAGGACGAATGCTTTGGTGTTCAAGTCCGCATACTTCGGCGCTGGATCACTACCAATTCAGTTAGACGATGTCAAATGTACAGGAACTGAAACAATCTTATCTCAATGTCAACATAAAGGCTGGGGAAAACATAATTGTGGTCACAATGACGATGTTGGCATTTCATGTACACCAGGTAATCTTTGGCTGTTAAGATTTTTTTCTGAAATACACACTTTGTTTATTGAATATTCTAAAGAGAGGGAAAGATGTTTAAAGTATATAAAGCTATATATCTGCTGCAAAAAAAATGTTGAAGTACTGAATATGTATACTTAAATATACTTGTATGAAATAATGAAGTTATTATATTCATAAAGAGCCGATGATACATGCATAAAATCATTGTCAAACGGTTAAAATAATTATTAAAATAACAGCACAATATTTTGTTGCGGAACATTTTATTCTTTTTACGTTATATTCCTTATATGTTACAACTTTTTTAGCCATAATATTATGGAAACAATATAATTCTACAGTTCATAAATTTTGTTAACATATTTCATTACATACTGATTTCTATCCCTTAATTATACATGTCTGTAAATATGAAATACGATTTAAACTGGCTAGCCAAACGAAATTTAGAGCCCCGCAATATTTAAGTTAATATTACTGTTTAGTCTAACCAGTTAAACATGTTTTGAGGATTAAAATAAAACATTTCCTAGAACTTTCTAACAACTATACAATTTCGTTCAATTTGCTTTCGCGATGAGCAATTCACGAAGGTAATTTCAATAAATATGTAATAACAGTCGAAAATAAACGAGCATAGTTGTGAAGTCAATTGTAAACATGCACTTGCTTTAGACAATTTGCAAAAATGTTCATGCTCTGTAGTAAGTGATTCGTTTGTTTGCGCATACCGCTATCATTAACGATAATTTCGATAGAAATTGCTCCTTTAAGTTAACAAATGCGTAGGAATATGGAACATTTAAGTTTGTTTTTCTATATATCAGTATTTTCATTTGTTTATTTGTTTGTGACAGTAGTTTTCGTTTATAAAACATGATTGAGGTTAATCTTATTATCCGCTTAACATTGGGTTGCAATAAAAAATTTGATCTGCCACATAAAATTATAGAAAAAAGAAAGATGAAAAAATGACCGTACTCTTATAAATACCTTTGTTATATAATATTGACGATCCTCTTGAAGTTCGATTGGTCAACGGGTCGAATCAATATGAAGGGAGACTAGAGGTATGGCATGATGGGTCTTGGGGAACAGTATGCGATGATGGCTTTGATACGCTGTCGGCAAATGTTGTTTGTAAGATGCTTCATTATCCGAGGTAAGTAAACAAAGAATAAGATGTGTTTATCACTTTAACTAACCAACTTTTTTCTACAAGCAAAATATGATATTTAATTTAAGAGTTAAAACTGAAATCGAAACGAAATGTATACATTAACTTGAAATGCAAAACAATTCGAAGAATAAATGTATTGCATATAACAATAGATTATAAATTTGATGCGAAAAATTACTTTTTAGATCTAATATTTTCGTATTTGGGGCTGCGTACTTCGGCGCTGGATCTTTACAAATATATATAGACGATATTAATTGTAAGGGAACCGAAACAAGCTTATCTGAATGCCCGCATCTAGGCTGGAGGAAACATAGTTGTGATCACAATGACGATGTTAGCATGTCATGTGCACCAGGTAATACTTTCTTTAAAAAACAATTACAAAATCATTTTTCTTGTAAGGTATCTAAGTTTTAAGTAACTTGCATTTAGTTGTCGTGGATGTTGTTTTATTTTGTTCTACAGGTATTAGATAAAATCAAAATATGCTGTAAATAGTTAGGTTCTAAACTTGTACAATTATTTATTTTCACGCCTGGTATATATGATAGAGCTATTTCTTTCGGAGGTATACGGTAAATTGCTTTATTGCTAACTTGTTTAGCTTTAACTGAGCATACCACGAAAATGCAGTTCATAGTGCAACAATTAGAAATGGCAAGGAGAGACAAACATGTAGATAGATTCTGGACCTCCGATGGCCGTATTTTTTTTATAAAGTTAAACCCCAAGATAAAGTTCACTCCATCAGACAAAATGGGAGATATCGATAATCTCCAACCGGACTCATCAGACCAGATGCTCAGCAGTTCTTTGACTTTGATTAGAAGTAGCCTTGTCACAGATCAGCCAGGAAATAACAACAGTGTATTGCAAGATCATAGACCTTAAATAGACTATTAAAATTCCTCTTTAAAATAAAAAGAATAAAAACTTTGTGTGAACATTATACAAGGGAATCATATCTTATTCTTCCTAATCTCTTCATTCTCAAGGTTATTTCCCTTCCATTACTTTAAACAAATATAAAAAACACTTTCCCATTTAGATTATCTGATAAGTAATAGAAAGAGCACCGAAACACGAGGCCCCCTCGTACAAATCAGATTGCCGAGTGTTTTGGTGTTCTTTCTCTTTTGTATTATAGTCAAACATAAAAACACGTTCCCTTTTGTCACAATATGAAACCCCAGAAAAAAGTAACCAATGAACGAGCATTTGAATATGATATTTCTGCCGCTTTCCCTTTCTCTGCCGTCACAATAAGTAAACCCCAGCAAAAATGAGCCAATCAACGGGCATTATCTGGAGTGCGGGTAACTGATACCTGCACTCCAGTTACCGCACTGTGCATGGATATGTACACGATTTAATTCTGACACTTTTTGAACAGAAAGGTCCCCAAACTATGATACAATAATATATGTACTGTACCCCAATGCTTGTTTTTGCCCTATTTATACATTTAATCATGTATATTAAAATCATGTATAAGAGTCACAAACAAACTATTTTTATATCCTGAACACTATTAATAAAAATGGGTCAAAGACAGAAAAGGCCGGGTTGCATTTGTACACCAAATATCATGAGGCTGTGATGTTACGAAAAAAAAAATGTCCATTGACCCATTAATGTCGAAAATTTAATTCAGTAGGTAAACAGGAAGTGGATTAGCTACACACCTAAAATCGAATCCCACAGTATGGGACCATGTGTCAATGCTGTATTCCAAATATCAAGAGGCTGTGATTAGTAGTTTCTGAGAAAAATGTTACGAAGATTTCCTACCATTGACCATTAATGTGAACAGGAAGTGGATGAGCTGCATACTTGAAATCGAATTCCACAGTATGGGACCATGTGTCAATGCTGTATGCCAAATATCAAGAGGCTGTGATAAGTAGTTGCTGAGAAAACTGTTACGAAAATTTCCTACCATTGACCATTAATGTCAAAAAATCTAACTAATTTAACTAAGTGGATAAACAGGAAGTGAATAAGCGACAGACCTGAAATCGAATCCCACGGTATGGGACAATGTGTCAATGCTGTATGCCAAATATCAAGAGACTGTGATAAGTAGTTGCTGAGAAATCTGTTACGAAAATTTCCTAGCATTGACCATTAATGTCGAAAAATCTAACTAAATTAACTAAGTGAATAAACAGGAAGTGGATGAGCGGCAGACCTGAAATCGAATCCCACAGTATGGGACCATGTGTCAATGCTGTATGCCAAATATCAAGAGGCTGTGGTAAGTAGTTGCTGAGAAAACTGTTACGAAAATTTCCTACCATTGACCAATAATTTTTAAAAATCTAACTAATTTAACTAAGTGGATAAACAGGAAATGGATGAGAAACAGATCTGAAATCCAATCCCACGGTATGGGACCATGTGTCAATGCTGTAGGCCAAATATCAAGAGGCTGTGATAAGTAGTTGCTGAGAAAACTGTTACGAAAATTTCCTAGCATTGACCATTAATGTCGAAAAATCTAACTAATTTAACTAAGTAGATAAACAGGAAGTGGATGAGCGACAAACCTGAAATCGAATCCCACGGTATGGGACCATGTGTCAATGCTGTATTTCAAATATCAAGAGGCTGTGATAAGTAGTTGCTGAGAAAACTGTTACGAAAGTTTTTTCCCCGCCCGCCCGCCGCCCGCCCGGACGCTCGCCCGCCGCCCAACATTCACCATACTATAACCCGGGTTTGCACCAGTGCAACCCGGCCAAAAATGATATACATATCACCAATTCATCTTGTATATCCATCATCCAGTATACATCCATTGGTTCCTTTTCAATTAAACACAATATACATTTCCGTGTTCAAAATTGTTTACATATCTATGATAGCAATAATTGGTAGTATATCTATATTTACGCTATGTATTATGTATAACGGTCTTAGATAGCATTGTGAATTACTCACTATATACCGTTACTGTTTGTAAACTTCTAAACATACATACATGACATTATAACCGTGTATCATTCAGCACATTTGCCTTTTTGTGAAGTCGGGGTATTTCTGGCTCCCGATTTAAATATGAAACTCGAGGGTCAGGAATGCACCAGGCACTGCCTGGTCGGCGTTAAATTGCGGGTACACTTAATTGGAGCTTTTAAGCCCCAGGTTGTGCCCTGGTTGAGTTCAAGTCCACAATTGAGTAGGCGGAGACCATCAATTCTAGCTGATCGGAAAAAATTTCGTCTCCACTAAAGTTTATAAAACATAATAATTATACACTTTCTAGAAAGAATTAAACCAAATTTAAAGTAGAAGTATTAGGTATTATATTATACGTATCTTATAATTTTTTGTTACATATAAACTACTGCAATTAAAGGGAAAGAACTTCTGAAATATCTGTAAGGTAAAGTTAAGATATTCATAACTTTGTCTTTGCCATACAAGAAGTTCTCATCGATTGTTCTTTATCTTTTTGATGTGTTTTACCAGTAACATGATATTGTGTTATATAACATTGAAATGTTTAAAACGTTATGAATATGTCACATTTTTATTTTATTTCTCTCTGTTAAATCAATTTTGATCCACATACAAACACTTCATCTGGTTTGCAAATATATGAATACCCTTTATCCATCATAGTAATTGCACGTGTTTTCTTGATCAATTTTAGTTTTGATTCAAAATCTAATTTAATATAAAATATAATCAACACATTGTCTTCTTCTTTCCTAATCTGACTAGAAATGTTAGTGTTTGACTTTTTTTATATTTTTATTCTGACAATATGGGGTTTGTTCGGATCAAGTATTGGTGATGTTGTTTTGATAACGGGATTGTTTCAATTTGTTCGTAGTTGTTTTTCTTTTGTAAAAAAAAAACAATCGTCAAAGGTCATGATTTTTGAATTTCGTTTCCTCGTGCTTTATGGGTAATTGTGTAGAAGCATGGCGGATGGCGATTGGTTTATTAGTATAACATGTAAGAATATAGTAAATTTCTATTTTTATATTTTCTCTTGCAACAATTTGTAAGCTCTCTACTGACATTAGAAATTATAGGTGTAAATAATATCTATTTTTCGACTAATGCTATCGCTTTTGTTTTAAAAGATAAATTTGAAAACCAAGGTCCCGTCGAGAATGACGACAACTGTCTAGCAATATATATAGTCAAAACATAAGAAGTATAAGAAATAAACTTAGTTACATCTAAAACAATTGACTCGAGTTTTATATATCATGTTTTACTGAAACACATCTTGACATTTTGCTTAAAAAAAAGTTTTCTTAGAATCGTTCTATGGCTTATCGCAAAGACGTTACATGCCACTCTGACGGAATCTTAGATTATGTTTCTGACCAACTTATATCCAAACGTGAATCAGAACCAGAAGGTATTTTACAGGAATCAATATGGATTGAATAAAGAAATAAGCATTCTAAATACCTTATATGCACTATTTAAGTATTTATAGGCGACCCAACTAATCTGTTACTTTGTAGAATTTTGAAATAAATTTAATGTGTGCATGGAAAAAGCTATTGAACAATGTGATAAAAAATTCAGTAAGTGTTGTAAACAAGAAACAACTGAACTTAATAGTAACTTATTCAAAGCTATTTTACTATTAAACGATCTTTATAATTTAAATACCGACCCACTCCTGTAACCGAAAATTCATCAACTTTAACAGAATTCATAGCTATTTCCAATAATATCCACGTCATACTGGTATATTTCATACACCGCGATAAATAAGAGACCCCTATGGAACCTACGTTTTTATCAAACATATTTATAAATCATTTTATACATATAAAAGACGCGTTTGGATTTATAATCGTAGAGATTTTCAACGTTTGAATAATCTTATACAGTCAACAGACTGGTCATCTACACATAATGATTCAGTTCACAAGGCTTGTGAATCTTTTACAGCACTACTCTTAGACCTAGCTTAAGATTATTTTCCAACTCGTTTAGTAACAATACGGCCAAAAATACAAGTACTGTCCTGGTGAGACTCAGAAATCCACAGAACATTAAGGCAACGTGATCGAAAACGGCAAATGCTATTAGAACCAATTATTTAAAAGATTGGAATGCCTTTAAACGTCTCTGTGATAAAGTTTTCAACTTAAAAACTCACGCTAAAGAATCTACATTTAAAAAAAATAGAATACTCTTTAGAAAACAGTCAAATTAGTAGTTAAAGAAATCACTAATGCGATAGGTCAATGCAATCCCTTATCCTTGATGAAAATAATAATGGCAAACATTACACAATTGATTCTGAAAAGGCACTTGAAAAGAATATTTTACTTCCGTTTCAATTATTCAGCTTCCGGAATTTGTTACTAAATAAAAATAATACAATTAACAAGGTTGTAGCGTAGATACTCAGGAAGTTTTTGACACACTTCCATCATTGCCATTAATTAAAGCAGTCGGCGTGATAAAATAAGTCATAAACTATTACTAGCAAATGAAACTCGTAAAGCATATGCTACTCTTTAACTTTATTGTTTAATAGATCGCTCCATGTGAATGTATTTTTTCAAATACGTAGAATGTGCAAAGTTAATGCTACTTTTTAAAAAAGGTAACCATCAAAATTCACCATCAAACAAAATACCTTTCCCATTGATTAGCTGAGTATGTAAAGTAATGGAAAGGATAATGTTCAAACACATATATAATCATCAAATTTTACAATCAAATAATTCACTCTATCCATTACAGTCCGGTTTTTCCCGGTCATTCTACGGTTTATCAGCTTATTGACATTTATTAACTTTGTGAATCATTTGACAAAATACAATGTCTTATCGTTATTATATATATATATATATACACAAATATACATTTTTTGATTCTGTTTTATTTACTTATTAGATTGGTTTTATCCATTTAATATTAACCTGTCTTGATTTTCTTTCTTTCTGTCGCTTTATATATACGAGTTACAATTTTCATATAAATGACATCAATGTTGATTAATACAATAATTTTCAGGGGAGGGCCGATCGCTAGACCTGTAAAAACTTGAATCAAACCCTTTTGCTATTTGTAATGAATTTGTGTTTCTGTATATTTACATGCATATATTAGGAATAAAATATGATTATATTGTAGTTTATAAAAACATACTTTTGTTGCATTATATTATACAGTAACAACTAGGTTCAAATAAAATCAAATCATTTTACTAAAACCATATAGCAGCTTACACAAACTTGAAGAAAATGAAATATGAAAAAAAACGCTGGATCAAACTTACCTATCTGATGACTGAAATTCTCATAGGTTTAAAATATTCATTTATTTTTGAAGTAAGATTGGTTAATGGATCTACTCAATATGAAGGAAGACTGGAAGTATGGCATGATGGGTCTTGGGGAACAGTATGTGATGATGAGTTTGATGCGCTGTCAGCAAGTGTTGTTTGTAGGATGCTGAATTATCAACAGTAAGTAGCAAACATTTTTATGCTTTTTATCAATTAACCAAGCAACTTGTTGAACGTTAATAAAAAGTATAAAAACGTATAACAAAAATATAACAACACTGAAGTGAAGTACAGGACAACTTTTAACAGCTTCCACATGGCACTTGACGCCTGCTGTTTGGATGAATGCATATCCGGAAAAAAGTGATCCATCGGAAGCACCAAAATCAGCAAATTAACATGAAAATTACAGACTCGGTTTGATTGAGTCTGTACATGTGGGATAATGAAAAGTCCCTCACGTCTTCTAATACAATTATATCTGAATTTTGTTTAATAAGAAACGACATTTGTTGGAAACAAAACTGCGTCGAATCTATTATTTGGTATTCAAACCCAAACAAAAAAGGTGTCGGTTTATTTTTCAATAATTTTCAGTCGGAAATAAAAAGCGATATACATATTGACACGCTTATTATTGTTTCGTTTTATTTGGTGTTTGTAACTTGCATATATAATTTGAAAAACAATTATAACTAACTGGAATATTGAGTACCACAAAAATTTGCGAAAGTGTAACTAAAACGACCCGGTGGAATACAAATATGTCAACGCTTTCACTCAAAATTTTTTTAAATGGAAGTTTAATGCTTGAACATGTAGACACAAAATTCCACATTTAATGTCAAAGACACATTAAAAATCTAACATTTATTTATCAAATAAAATATGTATTTTACAAAATGATACGACAGAGTTGACGTTTATTATAAGATTTAGTATGACAATTCACATTTTTACATTTTGTTAGAGAATGTCTTGTAATGAAGACTTTTCTTGCAACTGCAACTTTCAACAGGTATCATTTGAGTTGAAACATGGTATTCGGTTTTGTAAAAAAAATGATCAATATTTTTAAGATGGCGAATACTAAAACTTAACTGTCATACAAATGTCATAAATATATCTGTTTAATCGTAATTAAAAGACATTTTGCCCGCTGAATAGCTCTGTACTGTACAAGTTTTAATTATTTTAGCCTACGTTACCTGCAAGTTCTTTTGCGCTTTACTTTGCAAAGATGTTTACATGTAAGATGCAACGTGTCAGGACCATGCTTGCTCTTTTTTCGGTTTTGAGGTCAAATCAAATACCAAATATAAACAAGTCCATAAATGAAGCTTTATAAATTCAAAAGCGATCATTTATAAGATAACATGACGTTGAGTTTATTTAACCGAGCAAGTTTATGCCAACAACATGTATGTCAAATAATTAAGATATTATGTATTAAATATAGACTTAAGGGAAGAATTCGAAAGTGTCCGAGAACAGAATAAAATATAAGACTAGCCGTGAATCAGAAAGTGAGTTTAACTAATTTACATATACATGCTATTAAAGACTACTTTACAAAAATGGAGCGAGTTTTAAGAATTGGCACAACAACAAGAGTATAACAATTCAAGCATTGAAAACAATCTCTTTGTAATGATGAATTTGAATTGAATGTTTTTTTAATTATTATCAAAAGATTAAAGACAAGAAATAAAATCGAAAACAGCACAAAATATCTAAATGAAACCAATTGTTAATGAGGCATCGAAAGTCAGGTGCGACATAACATATTTCACTTTTATTTGCGTCGTATCATGTTACACAATTTGTTGTCTTTATAAATAATCATTTTATCTCCATGGTTCTTTTAATTATTACGTCAATTGCTTTCATTTACCTACATATTTGCTCAATATATATTGTGTGTAAAACTTAAAAAAAAAGACTGGTTTCTTAGCTGGCAGACAAAATGTTACCTACTAAACGTTCTTGATTCCAAGTACTTACAAAAGTTTTCGTTTTTTAGGACGAATTCTTTGGTGTTCAAGTCCGCATACTTTGGCGCTGGCACATTGCCAATACATTTAGACGATGTCAAATGTACAGGAACTGAAACAATCTTATCTCAATGCCAGCATAAAGGCTGGGGAAAACATAATTGTGGTCACAATGACGATGTTGGAATATCATGTGTACCAGGTAAAGTTTGCTGATAAAAATGATTGTAGATATTGGTACGATTTAAATTGATAACCTTTTTCAAACAAATCTTAAGAACTTCACCTTTTAGCCTAACCAGTTAAATATGTTACCATATAAGATAAAATTGATATATATATATATCTTGATCTGGAACTTTAATTTGACTTAAAGGAAAAGATCTCACAAGGCTTGGACACGCAGCGTATGGTCCGTTCTAGTAGTCACTGCGAGTAAAATACAATCAAGAACCATTTTATTATATGTCTTGTCGAACTCAACTTTCAATTACTTAATTGGTATAACGCAAACAGCGTCATGGATCACTCTCTAGTGATATACAGCATTTTTTCTGTAAGACTGTATTTGTACATGTGATTTGTACGCGGAAAGTCCGAGCGGGGCCGAAGGCTCCGCGAGGGCTGTAGCGCTCCTAAATAACATTTATGACGTGAATCAATTCAAATGAAATCAAATTTAAAATAAATGAAAATTTCAAAAAATATATATCCAATACCTAATGAGCTGTGATAAAATCCTTAGTTGGCCTCAGGCCACAATTAATTTCACTATATGTTCTATATAAACATTAAACCCTGTGGCAATTTACTAACTCTCCAATCAAATCAAAGTCACTTGTGCTTACAGTATCATCCAAGATAAATAATTCCAGCTATAGCAAACTAGGGGTCATGCATCATTTTTTCACAGCATTTCAGTCCAAAATACATCAGTCTGACAGTTTTCAGTAATTAGCCTGAACCATGTGAGTTCTGTCATGTAGAAAAACACTAAAAAAATACTTACTCACATAAAATCTGGATCAAAATTGGCATTTACCAACTATTTGAAATGAATTCTGTCAGAAAATTTCCTTTTTTCTACCTCTTTCATTCAATTATTCATTTATATCTGGCATTAAACACAGGCACTCTTTTATGCGGATTTATTTCCTTATTGTGGTCAACGAAAGGCAAATAACTGTGGACTGATTCCAGTTAAATGGGCGCCGCCACTTTGAAATCCTTTTGAGCTAAATATAAACATCAGAGCGCTTTTAATTAGCGTCTACATAAATCAGACTATTGCTAGCAGACGCATGCTAAATACGACTTCCGGTGAAAGAATGGTGTACAAAATCAGAAAATAAACATTCATTTCATTGATAAGAACTATAGTAACGATTATAAATATAAAAAGTTACTTTCACATATCCTTAAATTAGCATTAAATCATAACGTTAGATTACAGATTAACAAAATGGCGGACGGGATTTTCCCAAACTCCTCACAGTGATTACCTCCCTTGGCAGAATTGTAATCTATGTACTCATAAGGGGAGATCACTGCGTAGGAGATGGGATTTTCCAAACGCCGATGCATGCGCAGTGTTCGGAGATTTTCGACATATTCCGAGCGCTCTGATGATAGGTTGAACACTACCAATTTCTTCTATCTGTTGACGGTACAAAGTACCTGCAAGAAAGATCTGGTTTACATGTACACTAAACATGTAATGCTAAAATCGTAATTCATAAGAGCTTTCTGCGACATAGGTAGCACTTTATATCATATTAGAGAAATATGTACAGGTATATATGATAAGATAAAACATTTTATACATTTTTACTCCTAATTATCAGTTTCATTTTACTGCTAATAAAGTTATTTAAGTTTTTAAGCAGGTATTTCTGTCCCATGTTATACCTAAGTTTTCAATTCAAAAAGAAATGTTAGCAGTGCTTGAATAACAATGGCATAATACTTATTTCTTGTAGCTTTGAAAATTCCCTTTGTAAACATTGGAATTAGATTATAGCATATCTATAGTGATGAATTTTCACAGTAAGGCAACTTCTATTTTAGGCATTTCTTGCTTTGCGTTTGACTTTATAAATTTCGTAATATAATTTTCAAATCAACCAACAGATAAAATTAAAGAACTATCCTCATTCTTGTATATTTTATTGCAAGACTATCCTTCACATTTAATTTTATAAAATAAATGCAAAAACCATTCCTTTGAATTTATTTCAGAGCTACCCTTAAGATTTTATTCTGTCTTTTACATTTTATGACTAATAACATTCACCGATTTCAGCTTTCAATTCTTAAATGACCAATGATTTTTTTTTTGTGTTCCGTCCTTCCCTGTAAATGTTACAGGAAGTCCAACTGATAACAGACGGACTTCGTCCGAAAAACCTGCAAAGTTCTTAAAGTTTTAAATTCATGAAAATAAATGCTTAAAACTTTTCCAGGGTGTTCAACATTGTTACTTGTCTATTGTTTTAATAGGCTAAATGGGCTAAAACTGGTCTCAAGCTGTAGTTGAAAATGTAGTTGAAAATGGTCAATTTTTCCAAAACTAGGTCAAATTACTCGAAAATTTTACAAAACGCTTTCTAAACTCAACAAATCATTTAGACAAAAATGACAATTCAAATTAAAAAAGCACTCCACAGATTTACTGCATGACAGATCTATGTTTAAGTGAAGCAACAGTCAAGCTGCTGGTTTACCATTTGATGATGAATTATAACAAAAATTTGGTGTCTGATTTCTGCCAATTCGTTATTTTGTCTGGTTGTGGTTGTTACAATGAAAGCGTGACTAAATGAGAAACTTATCTTTTTATATTGTCACGCTCTTCTTTTCCTTTATTCTCTATTTCGTAAATAGGCCTTCAACCGCGACAACACAAAAAGGTAAGATGAGGGAGGGGAGGCAATTTTTACCATGCGACAATAAAACATTCATTTCCTTGTCTCATATAAATGTTAAATGCCTATCAAAGGTAAATACTTTTAGTCCTATTTGATTGAATATATTATATTTAGAATTACCTAGTCTTTTGTCCTACCAAATTGTAATTTTTTAACATAACGGCCTAAATAATAAAACGCAACAGGAACGGCCAGAAAGCGCAGAAGGATCGCCGAATGAATGCCATTATTACCATTATTATTATTTTTTCATGCTTGAACTGGAACTTACAAGATTTACTTAAAGTTCCCTATGAATTAAATAATAAGTGCAGCATAATTACACTATGCATTCTATGACCACAGAAGGCAGTGTATGACATAACTTAATTTACTTGTTGTCTTCCTTTTTTATCATCACCATCATCAAATTAAAAATCACTATCAAAACACTTCTGCTCATGATTACTACCGTCATCATAACCATCATCATAATGCAATCAATATATTTCTGCTCATCATAATCATCATCAATATAATCACCATCATAATCATCATCACATACTTCTGCTCATCATCACCGTCATCAATATAATCAATATATATCAAACACAGATAATAAAAGTTTATAAACTCTTACTCCACAATATATGTTATGGTAAACTTAAAAAAATTCCTTGTGAAAACAGGCAATGTCCATTTTTGTACACACAGTAACATCAGTAATGGTTTTTACTTTGGACTCCGTTTTCCACGGCACGACATCTCTAGTCATGATTCAACCTTATTAGCTCAATTATAAAATTTAAGAGATACAGGTAACACAGCTCTTTGAAACTTCTTCTACGAATTATAAATTTCATCCCCTTAATTTATTTGCCGCTAATAATTTGTCTACTAAATATAGGTCATAGGCTAAAACCACATGCAACACGCGGATTCGCTGTTGACCTTGAAAAGTAACTATGATATATATAATTACATGTAAACTGTGCATTTTTCTTTAAATCGAATAAAACGTGATGTTTTCTCTTGTAAATTCCGTAGTATTTCGGTTCGCTTTGTAACAAAAATAGTGATGTTCGTTGCCTTTACACTTCCCTGTAGCGTGGTGGAAAACACCCTTGAGTCACCATATTTAGGGCATTTATGCTATATTTTTATTGGATAAAGAAAGGAAACTTCAGCCTCCTATAACAGTAAGATCCGTGTTCTTTTTTAAATATTGATATGACAAAATTTAATTTATTTAGATTTAACCAAATAGTCAGTTCAAACTTATCAATATTCCTGTATGAAGTAACGTAAAGCTTTGGGATACCGATTGTTAATCTCGTTTTCAATGTATCGTTTTTCATTTATTTGTTTGTGCAAGTCACTTCCTGTCAGCGTTTATGTGATTTAGATTTATTATTAAACGCAAATATATATTGGTTTAAATGAAAAGGTTAACTTAAACCCGTTATTAGCTTCAGGAATTTTGTCATATAAATATGCTTAAAAGAACACTGATTTTGCTATTCAAGTAGATGATAAGATTATACGAAAGTATGTGAAATTAATTATTGTATGTTATTCATATAGTCCGATTGGTGAACGGGTCAGATCAGTATGAAGGGAGACTTGAAGTATGGCATGAGGGGTCTTGGGGAACAGTATGCGATGATGCGTTCGATATGCAGTCAGCAACTATAGTCTGCAAGATGCTTCATTATCAAATGTAAGTAGCAAAGAGTATTATAATGCTTCTAAATCACATAAGCAAACCAATTCTAAAAAGCGTTTAATATTAGTAACATATGATATTTTGTTTGTTTGTTTGTTTGTTTCATTTTACGCCTTTTCCTAAAAGTATTTCAGTCATATAGGCGGATAATCTTCCTAACCATCGTTCATGGAGAGTTACACCAGTACTAGACTACCTTCCTCCGTGCTAAAGCATCTTCCGGGGATCGAACCCACGCCAGGGAGGTAACCGGATTAGAAGTCATCGACTTTACAAGAGAAATTGACCTCTTGATTTTGAAAAGAAATGTGATGATTTTCCAATAAATTAAAGAGATAAAATGAATAAATGCATTGGATGATGACATTCGACAATGTTAATATCTGAATTTGTTTTGTAAAAAAACAATATTATTTTAGGACAAATCCTATTGTATTCAAGTCAGCGTACTACGGCGCTGGAGCATTACCGATATATTTAGACGATGTTAACTGCACGGGTACTGAAACAAGTTTATCTCAATGTCAACATAATGGTTGGGGAACACATAATTGTGATCACGATAAGGATGTTGGCGTATCATGTACACCAGGTAAACTATGCCTGATCATTTTTTTTCTGAAATAAACAATTTATATTCAATAACATTTGAGAGATTGTCTGAAGAAACGCATAATTTTATTAGATTTTCCCTATTGGAAAAGATTATAAAGAAATGAAAGACTCCACAAGGAACAAGAGAGTTAAGGTATCAAAGAAAAGATATAATTGTCAGGATATCAATAAAATCCCTTAAACTATTACTGTTTAGATTTGTGTAAATAGATAAACATGTAACTGAAAACAGAGTAGAAAACATTTTCTTAAACTTTCAAACGGTGCTAAATTCGGTTCCTGCCCCTGAGGGACAATTTCTCAAAAAGATTTTTAACACAGAATATTAAAAATTGTTTATGGCTCCCTTTCCCAAGAATCTTTTATGTGCAATTGTTGTTTAACTTGTTTTAGCATCGCAAGTTAAGATGGTATTCTACTGTTTATCAAAGGAAAAAAATGACTTGGTAAATTTGTTGATTCTTCATTTATATGCCTTGTATCTTTCATAAACAAGAGCCGGTTGAACCGGGTGATGCTCCCCGACTAGGATTTGGACACAGAAAAGTATATCTTTTGCAGTTTCAGGGTTATGTCCCAGTCATTTAAGTTCAAAGTGTGATAATTCCAAAATAGTTGTAAAATCCGACTTCAAATAACGACGTTATGGGCCGGACACAATTTTGCTTCAAGGTCATGCTGTGACATTGACCTTCAAGGTAGCGACCCAAATGTTACGCGCGACACATTGTTTAAATGTGGTAATCATTTCTGTTAAATAGTTGTAAAATCCTACTTCAAATAACGAAGTTATGGGCCGGACACGATTTTGCTTCAAGGTCATGCTGCGACCTTGACCTTCAAGGTAGTGACCCAAATGTTGCGCGCCGCGACACATCGTCTCAATATGTTGATCATTTCTGTTAAATAGTTGTAAAATCCGACGTTAAATAACCAAGTTATGGGCCGGACACGATTTTTGTTCAAGGTCATGCTGTGACCTTGACCTTCAAAGTAACAACCCAAATATTGCGCGCGACACGTCGTCTCAATATGGTGATCATTACTGTGAAATAGTTTTAAAATCCTACTTCAAATAACCAAGTTATGGGCCGGACACGATTTTTGTTCAAGGTCATGCTGTGACCTTGACCTTCAAGGTAGCGACCCAAATGTTGCGCGCGACACATCGTCTCAATATGGTGATCATTTCTGTGAAATAGTTCTAAAATCGAACGTAAAATTACCTAGTTATGGGCCGGACACGATTTTTGTTCAAGGTCATAGTGTGACCTTGACCTTAACGGTAGCAACCCAAATGTTGCGCACGACACGTCGCCACAATATGGTGATCATTTCTGTGAAATAGTTTTAAAATCCGACTTCAAATAACCAAGTTATGGGCCGGACACGATTTTTGTTCAAGGCCATGTTGTGACCTTGACCTTCAAGGTAGCGACCCAAATGTTGCGCACGACACGTCGTCTCAATATGGTGATCAATTCTGTAAAATAGTTTTAAAATCCGACCTCAAATAACCAAGTTATGGGCCGGACACGAATTCGGGACGTACGTACGTATAGATGGACGGACGGACGTTCTTACCAGAGCTACATTATGGGGTTTTCTTTTGTTATTTCTTTTGTTCTTTTAACCCCACAATGCTGAAAATAACCCAACAAGAGAAACGGAATGAATGACATCAAAGACATCTATTGTTATGAGAACAATAGACCAAACCCCATAATGTAGCTCTGGTTTGTACGGACTGACGGACGGACGGAAAACCCGACGACTAAATTTTTCGGGGAGCATAATAACATACGCATATTTGTTTTCTGTTCGTGTCATCTAATGAGTCGTGATTAAAAATGTGCTAGAAGTTTCGAAATGACACCAAATAATAAGGTGCATACATAACTTTTTTAAATTCTTATTATTAAAACAATTATTCTAAAACGTTTGTGTTTATCTTAGCCTAGAGAGATAAACACTAAATTCTAAATCAAAAATATAATTTACTTACCCTCTGTGGCGTCATAGTTATGCATTGTAATATTCACTCCAAGATTTTTTTTTTCAAGCTAAATACATTAAAAGAAGCAGAGCTTACCCATTTCTTTTTTTTCTAAATTTCTGCATTTTAAGCAAGCTTTTCTTCTTTTTTTATATGTAATAAAAATGTTCTAATCTCATTTACGGATATAATTATGCTTCTGATAGGATGAATGTCCATGCCCATGTGAAATGTTTAAGCTACCAGTAGTTTCGTACATTATGGTATCCGTCCGTACTTCTTTACAATAATATTAATAATTGTTTTCATAATGGCCTTGTTATTGGGCTGAAGACTGTCATATTAGCCTATGGCCGAGAATGTTTGACAATTTTATTAATTAACTACACATAAACTAAAATAGTTAATTACTCAGTCAACCAAAAATATAACTAATGTAAAATTCCGTTGTTATGAGGTATTGCAAATGAGATTCATGTTTTACAATGTCTTGCAGCAATTCAAAATGGCGACTTTTTTCAATGAAACAAAGCAGATTCATAATGGCCAAGCTTGGGAGCCAATCGAAACTCTCAAATCTCACAAAAGCTGAGTTTTCTCATAAAGGCCGTACTTTTTTCATAATGGCCTTGTTTTATGTTCATAATGCCGTGCTGAACTTCATATTAGCCTTAAGTTTGAAGTGAAAACGTGCCTTATATTGAAAGTTAATAGATAATTGGTTTTAACTTATAAAGCTACTTAAGAATACAGGTTCTTGATCCTTGAAAGTAATTTTACTGTTACAACACTTTATTTGTTATCTTCCCTTTATTTAACACCATCTACAAATAGTATTGATACTTAATTAATAAGGTCATGGAACTTGACCATCATTTTCATGACCATGACAACATTAACGAAAAATGAAACGACTTAAATTTTCGACTGAGATGGTGCGACGTAAAACGCAACTAAAATACATGTATCATGTTTTTTCTCTTTTGTGGACATATATTTTTCTTTTAAGTTATATTTACATCCAAAGAAAACGTTTAAATAAAAATTATTATTAATTTTGAGTGTGTGATTTAAAATTACCACTTTTGTAGATGTTTTAGATTTTGGTTTATTTAAAATTGTGAAATTGTTATGAGCAATTGTTCATATTCTTGAAGTTCGATTGGTTAACGGATCAACTCAATATGAAGGAAGAGTAGAAGTATGGTATAATGGGACATGGGGAACAGTATGCGATGATGGGTTTGATGTGCTGTCAGCAGCTGTTGTTTGTAGGATGCTTCATTATCCACGGTAAGCAATAAACTACGCAAGTATTTAGTTGTAAAAAGTATAATTACAACGTGTTTTTGTTCTTAGACAAATATACCAATATATATATACGTTTATGTATTGAATTATTTTATTCAGAGAAGAATCATTTTTTAAATGGGCGAATTATTGAAAATCAGAGTAATTTAATTGTAAAAGTTATATAAAATTATATGGAGATTATATTTGAAAATGACTTCCTCGGAACACATTTTCCACAGTATCATTTACATCTACATATACTTTTTTAGTCTCTCTGCTACTTCTGTCTTGCTTGTAGGGTTGGTAAATACCCTTTTATCCATCATTTCTAAAATATTTCTGCTAAGTATTGGATTTGTCTACACCATCTCTTAATATAAATGTCTTCTTAAAATAACACCGACTCAGATACAAGGACTAGACTTCATTAAAAGAAAAATGTTTGGTTTGAGTGATGGTTGTTCTCTCAGATCACTGCTTACATTAAATATGGGTCTGTCGTTCACTTTCGGCACTAAGGGTCAATCACTTTCAGGAGTTGTTCTCTCTCAACAGTTTTCAGAATAGTATGCATTGACCTAACTTAGGGTTCTCATGACCCGCACATGTGACTAGTATAGGGTGGATTAGAGTGCCAACATGTCCATTCGTAATGGTAATGGCAAATAATCAAAACTATCACGTGACGATAGTCGAGCAAGTATCATATTCTTTAATAATGTATCTTCCAAATACACGGATAAATCCATTAACTAGTATGAGGCTTAATGTAGTTATGTGTCCCTTTTCCATTAAAACAGTAAGATTTCATTTGTTCATATTGTCCAGTCCCTGTGCAAAGTTCGAGTTCTGTATATTTCGTAATATAGCGTTAGCTGTGTTCATTAAGTCGGAAACGGTAAGAAAACTTCGTTTTGCAAAGTAAGGTGATGTTGTTTCTTCAACAGGTTATGAACCGCAGTAACCTAGCAACTGTTTTAAAGACTATTGTCCAGCCGGAAAGAAATAGTTGATGAAGCCATCTTTTACGGGACCTGTCCCGAAATAATGCCACTTTCAAGGGGATGTAGTCTGGAAAATGTTGCTCATGATATTTCCAACGATTGTCTTAAAAGGCCGGTATTTGTTCTTAATATTTCAAGTGTTATCATAGAATCCGCCAAAAATATTACTTGGTCGACATCTTAATCAAGTCCTTCCGACAACATAGCGTACACGAGGCATTCTTTAAAAGCCCCACACAATGCTGATGATCTGTACCATGCAGGTCATATGCTTTATTGGTGCTAATCTAGACTCACAAATAACAAAACTGCGTGATATTCTATTCTGAAGGTCAGTCAAACGTGAGTTTTCGCATTCGAAATAACCTATCTATTAGCGATCTTTCATGAAGAATTTGGACAGAAACAACGGTTAATACTTTTCTTTTCAAAAGATTTTAATTCGCTATCAACTGTTTTTTTGGTTTTCTTTCTGCAGAACCGTTTTCTTTCCACCCATCGTCTTCCTTCAAAGGCTCTGTACAATTGCCATCGTCGCGCAACGTCACAGGTGAAACAAGTCATAATGTATCAAAATGGCATTATTGAAATATTTCCGTAATACGGGTCGTTTCTGTGCAATTCAATATTATTACAGTCCAAAGCCTGAGGGTCAAGTAGGTTCTGATATTGTTTAAATCATCTTTAATTACAACTATAAATTCAGTTATATTTATATCCATCTTCATAAGGTTGTTACATCAAAACAGTAGGTACAAACCACTCTGAAATGATGATATAACAATGGGTAAATATGAAGTGAAATAAGATAGGAAGAATGCACCTCATTAACTATAGTCCATATCTTCTGTTCACATCCAAAACATAATCATGAACGTGTCTTGTTGCCAATCAATCATTTATGCTAAGTAACAGTTCTTACATATACATTTGGAATTTCACAAATTTAACACATTTTACATTATATACAAGACACAATACACTTAATTCAGCTTACCATCTGCGTGATTAAAGAAGTACATCAATCCAATATAATCACATTCCCTTCTCTCTATCACACCAGTGACTGTTAACTGCGAGGTTAGATATTAATAGTGATGTAAAAAAGAGAGATGCCCTTGATACATACGTGACATTTTGAAACTCATGCAAATTTCACAATGAATGGACTGGACTAAAATAGAGAGAAATAAGAATCCCTAAAGAAAGCCCAACACGGCACAATTGAAAATGTTGCAGGCTCGGTTTGATTGAGCCTGTTCATGGACGATACTGTCAAGTGCAAACTACCGTCCACGCCCCCTAGCACCGGCTTAAGCAGAATTCAACATTTAACATGACCTGGTAAAATTTTAAATTTAGAAACAGACAAGGATCACAATAATGCAATTCTCAATATTTAAAACAAGCGAGGTTTCACGCATGCTTAAAATGGCTGCGAATGACTGGTCAACTGTGTACTGCATACCCTTAGAAGAGCAGACTTGAATGCTACCAAAACGAATGTTTGTTTAGATCTTTGCACTTGTTGATATAAAAGGGAAAGTGTTACGACACGCAAATTACATTACGTCCGTACTACCAGTACTGGTTATAAACTTGGACAGGACGGGTACGCTTCAGTCAACGCCGTAATGTGCCAGGAATCCAATTTGTGTCTTATTGACATAAAGACAACGTAATTGCTTTGCCTTTTTTAGATTTACCAGACATACTATAAGGTTATTTTCTTGTCTGACAATGTACATTTTCTTCAGAAATATCTATATCATTTAACGAACAAGCAAGGTCTGATCTTACTGTAACAAATTTCAACAAATCAAAGAAATCTTGCTTTTTGCAACTCTCATGGATCGAATTTAGATTATCAGCCTACTTGGTTTAAATATGCAAAGACAAACATCTAACGCTTCGTCTTATATTTCCCGTAATTATTTATAACAGAAACAAGCCTAATTGAAACAAGGTCATGTCTAGCACTAACTTAGATAGTTTGCCAATAAAAGATGCTTTTATTTGTGGGCCATACAACAGTTTATCAATATAACTTCTACCAATTGCATGTGAAAACTCATAATTTTACTGTAAAATTGGTTCTGAGTATTGGTACAGTTCATTTGAATCTAACAAAACGGCATTTTAATACAAAATTTTGCGTCAGCATTACAATATTGGATATGTTAGCATCGTCAAATACTTTTGACTACATATTTGTCTCGAAATTCTTGTTTATTTTTTAAACCTATATATGTAAATTTTAATGGCTTTTGTAAATTAAATCATTCTTGTTATACTGTTGCTAATTTCTAAAATGTTGTGTTTCTTCTGTCACTCGAGCCGGAAGATAAGGAATTTCTGTCTTACATATCAATCATGTAGATAGTTCTGTAACATTGGATACGGAATCACCATCGAACCTGTTCTATAAAACCATATGGAATTGTGTGCTCAATATAGCTCATCTTGTCCGCTCGGACGCCGTGTTGTCAAATATAAACATTTAATCCATATACTGTTCATTACGTTTAATAAAATTTGTTTGCTGGCTTTTGTATCTATTTTCTTATGTCTCAATAGTTCTCGTATCTTTGCACAATTCCATGCACTGTAAATGTATTGTTTCAAAATTTCGTATCTGTTACATCATCAATCATATAAATATTTCATTGCATTTTCTGCATTTTCATAAGATACCGTTTGTCTTTCTTCTTCATTATAAAGATTTGTTTATAGGTAGTGGAAGATGTACTGTTTGCATTTTGTTCTTTGCACTGATAATAGCTGTGTGCTCCTCAGAAAACTACACTTCCAGAGTTACTAATTTATCTTATTCACTTGTTTTGATATGACACGTCTTTGATTAATGTCTTCAAATTTAAAAAATGTAAACTTCTGTCACGAACCTCTAATTTTTCATTCAATATTTATATAATGTCTTATCCATGAGTTTGTAACATTTATCCCCAAATAACTCCTAGTCCATCACGACAACAATTTCTTAGTATTTGGATGCTTCTATCTTTAATTTTCATGCATCAGCATAACAGGTCCATATGGGAACAAAACGATTTTCTGAAACAAATTAAATAGTTATTTTAACTTATGCATTTATTTCGGCCGGAGGCCGGTCTTTTTTCAGTTTGACTTCCTGTAAAAGTTACAGGAAAGAACTGAATATGAGAAATGTTTTCATTGGTCATTTTAAAATTACAAAAATGAAATCTGGGAATCTCATTGACAATTCTAAAATAAAATGTAAACGATAGTTCTAAACTAAAATGTTAACGGTAGTTCTTGTCATTATGAAATTAAATGTAAAGGGTAGCTCTAAAATAAAATCTACAAGACAGATCTTTCTAGTTAAATTGCTCAGATATTTAAGTTCTGTTTTCCAATACTTTTTACATTCGAATCTCATTACATTTTATCAAGAAAACAGTTTATTTTACGTAAGAACTTACTGTGTTTTACTGTGTTTATTCTACACAAGATCTGAGTTTTTTAATGTTTTCCAAATTAATGAGAACAAGCAAATGCGTTGAATTTATATCCCCGGGCGAGTACTAGTTATTACTAACACCATAACTGGAGACATAAAACTTTATTTACATCAATTTATCATGCAATGCAAATTTCCTTTTCGTATTGATGGTTCCCATAAAGTCTAATTTTGACATCAGTCAGTTGAAAAGCAATAGCAATATTGCTCTGCATGTATACTGCAAAACTAGTCAATGGCAATAACTCTTTCTTGAACGTTCTGACCGGAACATGGCCATGATATGCGCATCTCGGTTTCCATTAAGATTTGTTTAATTTCAGGCATTAGTTGCAAAGAAATTGCGCGTAAATATTTTTTGCTTTATACTGTATACTGTGTATCTAATCAAGGGCCATTCCTCTGAGTCAAAGGATCTGATCAGTAAATGTCGATGATACTGGCATCTTCTCTTGGTATTAACGTTCCCATCAAGTTTCATTGAATTCCAATTGTCG